AAAACTTAAATCATGAGATGAGTCATGATCACAGAGAGAATCCCAGTGCAGCTGTCGATAATATGTGAAATATAGAAAGAACAAGAGACAAGAAGGGGAGGCAAATAAAATATCCGAATAGCATAAATTAAAGTGCTACAGTTTATCCTGCAGTGATCACAGAGCTTGATTCCATGTTTTACCAGATAAACAAAATCATAGGAGGTCAAATCCCATATATAAAATGGCATTGTGTTTACATATAACCTATACATATCTTCTCATACAGTACAAATATTCGCTGTTGTAAATGTTTTATAAATACTTGTGATATCATCTGCGTAATGGAAAGGTTATATGATCTTTTCAGTTACATCTGATCAGTACAGATATGTATTTTACTATGTGCTTCTGATGCAAAATTGACTTACTCCTTCCATGAAGAACCTGCATACAGGGAGACTTGAGTGTGAACACAGAATCTAGGTTTAATAAAGAACATTTTATAGACAAAGAGTGATACATTGCTGAGATTTGCCAGAAAAATCATAAAAAGTCTTAAGATAGGAGTTAAGAGACAACAAAGAAAACATGGCAGAAAGGATGAAAGGAGCAACAAGAGTTGAAGGAGGAGGCCTATAAGAAAGAATCAGTTTAGTGGTGCTTAGTTGGACACAAGGGTTTATGTGTGCACATGCATGTATGTGACTTAGCTTCTTAGTGACTTAGCAGATGAAATCTTAGAGCTGGACAAGTTCAGAGATACAGATGAAGCCCTAAGAAAAACGACCCGTGTCTGTGAGGAACCAAATGATTAGGAGATGTATATCATTCTATGATGCGTGCTTCCTTTGTAGCTTTTTGGTTTATGAATATATAACTGTTATTTTAACTATCTAGCAGATGTATCTCAGCCTACCCCTGTACTTTATGAACATCTGCCATCTAAAAAACTTAAGAGAAAACTATTATGATTAACTTCAAGCATACCAGTTATGAACAGATCAGTAAGTATGGGTTTGATATCCTCCCCTTTGTTATTCTACTGGTGGCTGCAATTATTACTTTTGCATTACAGATCCTTTCTATTAAGTAAATGCTTTTCTGTAATATTTCTATGTGCTTTATGCCTGGTATCACCACTGAAATGCTCAGTTGCTTCTTATATTGCAAATGCATAAATATTTATGTATTCTATATGTAATAGGTATACTCTCCAAATGTTGACAGCTACTATTCATCAGACAAAGTTAAGAAGCAAAGATGAAGATTTCTTTCTTTTTAGATACCTTTAAGCGTCAACTTCTGTTAAAACACTAAAGCATAGAGGCAATGTTGATAAGAAAATATTAAACCTTTTTCTGTCAGATTCATGAATTTGAGAATAGGAAACATCACAGCTGAAACAGACATCATGACATATGGCTTGCATCTCACCTATGTAAGTTACCAGCTGTTTGAACAAATAATATATCCTATTTAAATTTCCTTTAACTTTTGATTCTGATAAAGTCAATTCATACACTAATTGTATTAGTTAGAGGATATATATATATATATATATATATATATATATATTTGAAAGTCTTTGTAAAACTGTGAAAGTGAATTAAATAAGATAAATGCTTCCTTTGCTGTTCTGAGTCTTTTTTCACCATGAATAATTATAAAAACCTAAACAAAGTACAAATAACTTTTAGAAGACTGACCTCCGATGCTTTGTGATGTATTGAAGAATAAGTACAATAGTTAGGGATCAAAGGGTCTATTAATTAAATGCACCTTAATCTGTATATTATTTACAAATATAAATATGATCTTTGTAGCTCTCCAAAATAGGGGAATATTTGAATTTTTTTCTACAATAATTTCACGCAAAAGTAGCCTCACACTGCCTCTGGAAGGCCAATGGTCATATGCAGTAGATCAAGCAGAAAATGTCATGATGCAGAAATCAAAAAGAAAGCTTTTCTTTACTCAGAGTAGCAGAAAGAAAGTTGAATAATTTAATGGAGTTGGGCATAATTTAATGGAGAAATGAGCTAAATAAAAGATTGACTAGTTTTGTCTTATTATTGACTACAGGATCAATATAGAGAAAAAGAGTATGTCTCATAAAACCACAATCACTGCTGAGTCATAGCCTCACTATAATAACAAAAAGGACAAAGAAAAGACTGGGAGCAATGAAGTGCAGTTTACTTGAGGACATGTCAAGGTATATAAGCACACACAAAATTGTTGAAAATGTCCTGTAGCTAAAGACTGAGACTAGTAAGGGCATCGATACAGTGGTCATTTAAATTTAGATTGAAGATATGATTAAACCACATTGATAAAATAATGGATAGACAGATCAAAATAGGAAACCTTCCATTAGATTTCTATGCTAATGGAGTTGTAAGAGAAACAGGTGTTGAAAAAGCATACAGAAAAGACACAAAAACTCCCCGAGTGTGTTATAAAAAGTCTCACTGATGGTAGAAGCTATTGAGATAAATAAGATTTGTTATGCCCCTTAAAATATCAGTAAAGCAAAGTTTACAGAAGGCAGTATGTGAAAGAACATCTCTTAAACAAGGAAAGCATCATGGGGCTTTGGGGGAGAGAAGTCAGGTATCCGGTGAGACTGCATAGAGAATTTTAGATAGAATAAGTCTCCAGGAGGGAGAAGTCAATGATAAAAAGATGATTATGGATTTTTAAAATACAGGATTAATAACCAAGAATGTTTGATGAGCACGGTCACAAGAATAAGGATCGAAAATACAGCTTTAAAATAATCATTCATCTATGACAGCTAGGTAATACAATAAAAAGGCTAGAGCACTCGTATTTTCTGTTTGGTATTTTGTATTTGGAGCTTGGCCACAATGCTTCAATTCAGTAAGTTAAGCAAAACTTACAGTTTGAGACAAATATAGATAATTGAGGTTTCTGAGATACTGAGACCAGTAAAGACAATTGATGATATGGGTCAGAACTCCCTCATAAATAAAAAGAAAATTGGTGCTTTCTCATATATCTCCAAATATTTGTATAAAACCTGCTGCAATTTAATCCAACTGATTTTGAGTTCACTGTAACCATGACAGATACCACCTGTAGGGTAGAGTGTGTAGGTTCAGTCCTCCAGAGACTTCAGTGAATATTTTGGTAGTGTGAAAGTATATGGATCTCAAAATAGCTGTGGAAAGTCAACTTCTCATGCACTTCCTTTAGAAATAGTCACGGTAGAGGGAATGGGATGATGGAAGGGAGTGGGGACTAGGGTTGGTACGGAAAATGAGAAAAGATAGGTTTCTAAATAAAGACAGAAAGAGTCACAATACATCATTGTTTGTCTCTTCAACTTATCTTTCAAAAAATCATGTGCTGATTCTTTTTTTGAAAGATAAACATTAGGTTTAATTCAGTTGGTTGTATTACTGAAAGTGAAGGCACTGAGTACTTTATGACAGATTAGGTATTCAGTAATATTTAGACAAAAGTAAAGTGAACAAAATGAGCCTGCAAATTGTATGGTCATTTGCAATTATTTCATTAAGGAATCCTATCTGAGCAAGGCTTTAATGAAGTGGTAATGAGGTAAAGATCTGCTACTAGCAAAGGCATTATAGAAAACCTAGAAAATAGAGCTCAGTAAAGGGATAATGAGGGAGAAGCGTCTTCTAGCTTGGTCTTGGCTTATGTTTCTTTGTTTCAGAATATAAGACATATCCCTTAAATCTTGGTGGTTTCCATGGGAGTGAGTTAAATTAAAGCAGTGTGAAGGGGTTGGATGTGTGAGAGAAGAGAGGCTAAATTTAAACTGAAAGTGGGAATAAAAAGAGAACTTCTCATGCCAAAGAGATCCACATAAGCCCTCAGTAACAGGTGGGCTGGAATTATTATTTACTGATAAGGAAGAAACTGTAGAAGACTCTTGTTTGAAATTCTAGAATTAGTCTTTGAAATACCTGCAATGAAAACTAGATTAAAGAAGAATGTGAAACCTACTTTCTTATTTACTCAGCTTTCCTCAACACTGCAAGAAACTAGCCTAGGGCAGAGGGTTTATCTCTACCCTCAAAGAGATGTTATCTTTGAGGGGACTCTTTCAGGGTATAGAATATTTAGCCTCGTCTATCAATTAATTGAAGCATGGATCAATAGTTAAAAGCATATCACTATCTTGAAAAAATCATTGAGCTTCCTAAATTTTTTACTTTTAATTATACCAATAGGATCAGGTTCATAATTCCTAGTGTAAGTTTGGTAAATGTCACTTCCTTAAGGCCTTTTCAAACTGAATGAAATAAAGATTTCTTCACAAAGGCAATCCTTGAAACTTTAGAAATACTAGTGTACTTCATTTTTATAATCTCACATATAATATAGGTCACACATTCTTATATTTTTCGCTTTCCTATGATATTGAAAAGGTGGAAAATTATACCAAATCTGAGTTGTGTGCATGGCAATTTTTCATGCAAATATTTAAAAAAAATTTGTTTTAAAATTACATAAGATCATTTCAAGAAGCTTGAGGTTATATTTTCCTTAAGTAGAATATATTTTTATGGACTGAATATATAATGAAAAATATCTACTTGGGGGAAATCTTATTTACACATAAGATATATAGGCATCTAAAAAACTCCCTAAGCAATACAATTAATTCAATTAGCAATTTTTATTTATATGTTCAGAAATTTTAGAGTTATATACATAAGTTTTAAATGAGATTCAAATTCTTTGCGGACACTAGGAGACTGTGTAAAAGAAAGTCTTGTAACAACAATTATATCAGGAATATAAAGTTATATTATGAGAACTGCCTCTAGGTGAAAAATTAATATTTATCATCTTAGGTAGATCTCACCACAACAGCATTTTGTGAGAGAATCTAATAGCATGAAAAATAGAACATATCTCTGGGAGGAAAAAAGTATTGAAGGCATCACACAAGCAAAAGATAGGTTAGATCATCTTGAAAGAATTTGCCTGGTTTATAAAAGAGAGAATAAATGTTGGCAGACCTGTGAAGGAAAAGGACTCCGTGTGGACTCAGAGGTGGCAACATAGGCAGCCTGTGTGTAGGCGTAGCTCTTGAATCGAGGTTTAGGAGATGAAGAAGTTTGCTCATAGCCCTGTGCTAGACTGACTGTGATCTGTAAAGGGTTGGGGAAGAAAAGGAGAAAGAAGAGGGGAAAATGTGGTAAGTAATTGGGAAGGACTGCTTTCCAAGACTCTAGAAAACAGAATAGTAAACAGAAAGGGTGAGATCAAACATTTAACCTTAAACACATAAATGGTAGTAAAATCTAATACCCTCTAAGAGAAGAATTCACTGTGTTGGTCTTTCTGGAGAGCAGAAAAACCGAGAAGATAATGAGTGTAGGATTTAAAATTCAGGTTCCACAGGGACATAACTCCTACAGCGGTATAGCATGATATTCTGTGCTCTGGAAAAAATGGGTACCCAACAGCAGTTTCCTCTGATCCCAAAGTAAATAAGGCCAGAATTCATCAGGTCAATAACTTGGTATGGGCTAAAGATGTCATGAGCATAAAAATAGAACTAGCTAAGTAGAATGAAAAAAATAGACACAAGAACTTTCCATTCCTTTAGCAAAATTTTGCGCAAGATTTTTTAATCATTGACTTTGTTTAAGAAAATACAGTATACCTACTGTTGAGCATGATTAATAAAACCCAATTAATAGAATCCCTTTGCACTTATTTCACTGATGCAATAAACAATTTTTATCATATATTGTTGATTTAATTGGCAGTACATAGGTTTTAAAATATTTTTCCATTTAAAAGGAAAATATCAATAATAAACAACTGTTTATTCAAAAGGTTAGCACAAAATATTTTAAATGTATTTTTGAATAAAATGTTTGCCCTTTATATTCTGGATTTTTCACTTTGCCATAATTGACAGCAAACCTAATTTTAATGCATATACAAATTTTTTAAAAATTTTATTTTACATTATACAATAAAAACACAGTATATTATGTATTATAAACTGATTAATTATCAAATTACTTTTAGAAGTGATTATCAGTGTTTTTTGAAAATAATGCCTTGTGACACATGGAATTTTAAAAAGTTTATTTAATCCTTGTGTACACATGAAATGCTATGTATACATATATACATATACACATATACATATGCATATATACACATACACACATACATACATATATGAATATATGCATACATACATATATGAATATATGCATACATACATATATGAATATATGCATACATACATATATGAATATATGCATACATGAATATATGAATATATGCATACATGAATATATGCATGTATACATATATGAATGTATGCATGTATACATATATGAATGTATGCATACATACATATATGAATGTATGCATACATGAATATATGAATATATGCATCATGAACATATGCATACATGAATATATGAATATATGAATATATGCATACATGAATATATGAATATATGCATACATGAATATATGAATATATACATACATGAATATATGAATATATGCATACATGGATATATGAATATATGCATACATGAATATATGAATATATGCATACGTGCAAACATGAATACATGCATGTATGCATACACGCATACATGAATATATGCATACATGAATATATGCATGTATGCATACACACATACATGAATATATGCATACATGAATACGTGAATATATGCATACATGAATATATGCATACATGCATACGTGAATATATGCATACGTGAATATATGCACACATGCATACATGAATATACGCATACATGCATACGTGAACACACGCATACATGAATACACGCATACATGAATATATGCATACATGCATACATGAATATATGCATACATATATGAATATATGCATACATACATATATGAATATGTACATATGTATGCATAAATGCATATATGAATATATACATAGACGCATATATGCATACATACATATATGAATATGCACATATATACATGTGTATATGCATATATACATTTACACATATGCACATATACATATATGCATGTATACATATATGTATATACGTATATACATACATATGCATATATACTGTTATGAACATATGAACATACAAAGACATGCATTATTTACATATGTGTGAATGTCATACCCAAAGCTGGACATAAAATTGGAAAGCTCTCTTATATTAGTGCTCCTGTCTTACCTCTTGAGAATAATGCATCTGGTGATGTAATTGAAAGTGTTCTTCTCTAGTAGTCACTTTTGCTGGCCTGGGCAACATTTCCACTTCCTGGATGGCTTCGATGCTCACGTGTTGAGGCAAAACTTGAAAGAGTGATGTGATGTACATTAAGATGGACTTCTTATCTGGATAAGTGGTAGCAACATCTGTAAGCACATTAACAGCACACATCAATTTCTGGTTTCTATATTTGAGACTCTGAAAGGGTAATGAACAAATCAATGTTACAGGAAGCAGACAAATTAATGAGCACTTGTTTGTCCATGAAAGTCCTCCAGAGACTAATTAGAACATGATAATCAGGCCTAAAATGCCCTTGCAATTTTACAAACCATTGAGATGAGCACTGAAGTTCATTTCTTTTTCTTGTTCACATAAAATCTTTTTTCTATAATATTTTCTCCTAAAGAAAACTGCCGAAACTAGCCCATCTATGTGAGTAGTTTTCATTAGTAAGAAACTATCTTAATTACATTTTCCTTTCTATGGAAAGTTATCTTTTATGTTAATTAAACTGGTATATTTATAATTAAATAATTATAAAAAATACTTAATGCTTGAAACCGCCTAAAGAAATTTTTTCTACAATAACATTATGCACAGAATGACATGTATTTGTCTTAAAGTGAGCCATGTATTTTCTCAATACAATCTAAAGTATCATCAGCCTGTGTTGTTTAGGGGTCCCCCATGTGACCCCTCAGCCAAAAGCTCAACTGAATGCTGTCCACTCTCACCACCAAATGTCTTACATAGCTATAAAAGATGGCAAATTCAGAATACATATCCTCCATTACTACAAGTCATTACTAGAGTCACCCTCATAGATTCAAGGCTAATGCTAGGACAAATTGTCACTCTCTGAAAACTGCTAGCTTCATTGCTCAGGACAACATTCAAAAAGCTCATTGAATGTACAGAGGTTAAGCTGGTGCCTGCATGGAGCCTTCAGCCCTATGTCCTAGTATATTTGGTGCAGGAAGGTACTATTCAGGCTACAGAAAGGGAAGCCTAGACTCCAATCCAGTTATAAAACCCTCCACCTGCATTCTGTCCTGCCTGTAAGATGTGCTGGGCCAATGATGGCACAGAACTTGTGGGAATGGCCAACCAATGTCTGGATTAACATGAGATCCACACTATGCCCTAAATTGCCTGGATAGCCAGGAACCAGAGTCTGGATAATCGAGAGACCTAGAGAAGAACAAAACACAATTGTCTTTTTTTTTTCAATCAATGAAATGATTCCTAATAACATTCTGCTATACTCATAGATTGGTGCCTTGTTCAGTTGTCAGAGAGACTTCCTCTGGCAGTAGCTGGGATCTGGTGAAGAAACCCACAGATAAACATGCATAGGGATAATCTAAATTGGAGGTCTCCATATGGTTCTTCCTCTAGGAAATTAGGGAGCCCTGCACATGAATGGGGAGGAAGGATTGTAGGAGTTAGCGAGGCTAGAGGATAGCAGGAAAACATGGACCACTGAATCAATCAAGCAGGCCTCATATGGGCAAAGAGAGACTAAAGGGGAAACCAGAGGCCTCGCAAGGGGGTTGTTACAGGACCTCTGAGTATACGTTATGGCTGTTGGCTTAGTGTCACAATTATGTCACTATTACACCAATGGGTCTATCATGATAGGTTGACTGTTATTGTAGCACATAAGTTCACAGCTGAGTGAGATTGTTAATGTCTTTTCTCCCTTAGATGCATGCATAGCACCATATTCTATGACAAAATTATATAGTTTCTTTAGCCATAGGGTCATTACCTTCAAGTTCTGATGCTCCACTAAGATCAATGTCAATAGTTTGTATTATTTTTGAGAGTGACCCCACAAGGCTAGTGGGGCGTGGTAGTAGAGGCTGCAGAAAGATTGTCAGAGCCAGAGATTAATGAGGACTATTACAAAATTATACCGGATGGATGTGAGAGGGCCATTGCACTCATGAAATCACAACAGCTTTGTTGTGAGCTATTTGATAACCCTGTGTGATAATGTCTCTCTCTTTCCTCACATGCTTAAGGTATCTTCTGATTTGTTTATAATAGATCTGAAAGGCCAATAGCTCGGCTGGAGAGGATAGATAAGACTTCTGGGAAGGAAATTGGAGGAAGAACCTGATAGGGGGCATTATCCAGCTAGACATGGAGAAAGTGGGACTCATGATACTGAGGAGATGTAACACGTCATGTGGCAGAATGCAGATGAATAGAAATGAGCTTATTTATGTTTTACAAGCTAGTTTGGAACAAACCTAAGCTAAGATCAAGCTTTCACACTTAATAACAAAGAAAAATCCATTATGTAACTTTGGTTACTGCCACAAGACCTGTAAATGATCAAGTTAGGCAGTATTCCAGCATGGACAGAGGGGGATCTCATGATGTCCCATCTCTAGCTGAAGACCTATTCACAGTTGATGGTTCCTGGGAGAAGGAATGTCTGGTTTCTTCAGAGATGTGGCTCGTGGGGGGATTCTCATGTGCCTAGAATGACCTTATACTTACTCATATGGATATTACTTACTGGGATAGGTGATTTATTTTAAATTTTTTTTAAAGATTTATTTATTTATTATGTATACAACATTCTGCCTCCGTGTATACCCACACGCGAGAGGAGGGCGCCAGATCTCATTACAGACGGTTGTGACCCACCATGTGGTTGCTGGAAATTGAACTCACAACCTCTGGAAGAGCAGCCAGTGCTCTTAACAGCTGAGCCATCTCTCCAGCCCCCTATTTTAAAATTTTAAACACAGCTATTCTGATTGTGAGTAGAAAAGGTCAGGAGTAAAATACAGTTGATTAATATAAAAGAATACTGAGTAATTCAGTTACTTTTTTGCAAAAAATAAGAACAAAAATAAATAGATGCTGTTGGAACTCCTTCAGCCAATAGACTTTAAGATACCAGCCCCCTTTGGGCATGGTCTCATGTATTATAAAAGCAGATGAATTTTTGCTGACGAGGGAGGGGGACTTGATTGGGGGGGAGGGAAAGGGGAGGCGGCGGTGGGGGAGAGACAGAAATTTTTAATAAATAAATAAATAAATTAAAAAAAAAAGAAGTCAGAACCACGAGGGATGCACCCACCCACGGAGACAGTGGGGCTGATCTATTGTGAGCTCACCAAGGCCAGCTGGACTGCGATTGAAAAAGCATGGGATAAAACCGGACTCTCTGAATATGGCGGAGAATGAGGGCTGCTGAGAAGCCAAGGACAATGCCACTGGGTTTTGATCCTACTTCATGTTCTGGCTTTGTGGGAGCCTAGCCAGTTTGGATGTCCACCTTCCTAGACCAGGATGGAGCGGGGAGGACTTTGGACTTTCCACAGGGCAGGGAACCCTGACTGCCCCTCAGACTGGAGAGGGAGGGGGAGAGGAGTGGGGGGGGGGGGGGGGGGGGGGGGGGGGGGGGGAAAAGGGAGACGGGGAGGGAAATGGGAGGCGGGGAGGAGGCGGAAATTTTTTTTTTCAATAAAAAATTATATTAAAAAATAAAATAAAATACAATCAAAAAAAAAGCAGATGAAAAGCATGTGCAGGCTTCTTGACTGCTGAATTCAGTTCCAGTTCCCAACACTAGCAGAGGACTACAGATCTCTACGCTTCCTGTGAGTTTATCCCCAGGTAAATAAATCTTTATCATACTCCACTCTAGGTAATTGTGGAGCTCTTTTGTATACCAACAAACAAAAACATTGATAAATTATTTCAAATAAAATAATAGCAAACATAATAATAATGGGGTAAAACTGAAATTATTCCCTAAAATAACCAGGAACAATATGCAAGTGTGATTAGATAATCACAACATTTAAAAAAATAAAAGATAGTGCTTAAAAATCTCAGCTAGAGCATAAAGGCAAATTCGTAAAGGGCAGGCAAATGGAAAATGAAGAAATCAAATTATTCCTATATGCAAATCATGTGATACTTCAATCACATACCTATAAGACTCTATCCTTGATTTCTTATAAAATAGCAAAATAGCAGAATATAAGATTTTCAAATCACTTTTGATAAAGAGCAATAAATTTTGAATAAAATGCAGGAAAATGGAGAGGAAGCATGGTGGGCATTGATGACTTTATAGCTACCATAACAAGTACCAAGCAATAAACACCAACTTGTTGCCTCTTCAATTGTTTTCTAAGCAGTGTTTCCTAAGATGTATTTCCAAAGCAGTGGCAACCAGTCCCATCTGGAAGTATGCTAGTTGAGAGTAAATTTACCCCAACAAACCTTAGTTTTAGAATGGAACTCCATTAAGAATGGAATTAATATCTAAGTAATCATTTTTATAATGTGAACTGAGCCTACTCCCAGTTATGAATATTGTCATAACTTCTGACCTGTTATTTCTCTTCAATACTGTGACACCTATTTGCTATGGTAGCACTTTACCCCTGAGCTGCTTGCCCAGCTCTGAGACACTCTGATTTCAAAGACTGGTTGAGCAACATCATTTTTTTTTCCCTTATGAGAGCAAGTAATAAAGTAAGCACTCAGTTTTGTGATAGCCTAATTGTTTAGTGAAATTCAACTAATAAGATTCATTTGTACCTGTAAATTAATTAAAGAAAATTAGTTAAGAGTACAGTGCATTTAAAGAAAAAATTCTGAATTTAAACCTAGACTTCATAAAAAATACTGCTTTTCAGTGTGTGTGTGTGTGTGTGTGTGTGTGTGTGTGTGTAAGTCTTCAGTATCTTCTATTTCCTCACCTATGAAGTAAAAGTAGAACTTCAGCTGGCCATAGTCCTTGGGAATGCAAATGCAGTAATATTCAGAAAAAAAACAGGGAATGGTCAGAAATTTAAATCAATGTTCATGTAAATTTAATGAGAAATGTAAATAAATTTTCTAGAAAACACACTATTTAAACACCATATTAATTCAAATGTATTAGTCCAAAAATTTAAAAATTGAACAAGCAGTTGAGTGGGAATATTATACAGACATTCAAATGTAGTTTTAAAGTGCACTTAATAATATAGTCATACTAGTACATTATCACATCAACTAACATAGTTTCTAATTTATGTGGGTTTCTATAAAAATTTTAGGATGAAGACCATCCATCTAATAATATTTCAAGCTACAAACGAAGTGAGCATACTGGTAGACTGAA